TTAAACTATTAGATGCATTAGACTACAATGAAATTTCAATTACATAAAATGTGATCTATGAATTTTTCGAATTGTATTTCTTAGCTCCCAACAAAAATTTAAAATGTGAAATTGATCCATATTTAATATTGAAATTCTAAATCTATGTCTTCCACTTTTTACCCATGGATAGAGGAGTCGGGAATGAGTTCCTCCGATTCCAACTCCAAGCTCCACTTCTATGAAACCAAACAGCACCTTAAAGTGTTTTTTTTTTTTTTTGCGAAAAAATAACGTCAAATCATTTTAGCTTACTATATTTGCTGTAAATTATGGTAGTACAAAAGTGCTACAATACAGAAGACATGATGCTAAATGATACAAAGGAAAGCTAGAAATAGGAACAGTACAAAATTTTGCAATGAAAAATGAACCAGTTGCCGCCTAGGAATTGTCTTTCTCCCATATGCTGTCCAATATTGTGACACTATCAAGTTAGTCGTACTATTATTGTTCAATGATCAAACTAATTAATGACAAAAGTTTCGAAACTAATTAAGTACTAGACACCTCCGCACACAACTCATCTAATCATCACATCACCCTTAAAACACATGGTTTTTGTTTGCTAACCTTATACGCAATCTTTGTCGACAAGCCAAATTATACTAACTTTTTTACTCCTATAAAAAGGCATCACAGTTTCAATACTTTTTTTGTTATTATTCTCATGTCTTGAAAAGATGATCTAATTTGAAATTTTATTTTTGTTTATATAAATTATGCTAAAAATTAAAATCTGAACAGGATAATTTTTTTTGAGACTATTAAAAAGTTTAAGTGCACAGTAATGCATAATATTCAATCTAATTTTACTTGATCAGAGCCTATAGATCTTTCAACAACTTTTATTTCATACACGCACTTGAACTCAACGTATTCACGAGAAGACGAATTCGTTAACATTTTAACATATGGATAACTGTTAGTATTTCAATCTTCCTTTTGTTTTGGATTAGAAAAAAGGGGGAAATGAAGACAAATATAATGCAACTAAGCTCCACTAGGGTTGATGAACCAATGTTGGGTGAAAAAAAAAGAATAAATAAAATTATGGCATGCTTTGGGTTACAAATTGGTTCAACTCCACTTTGACATGTGAGTAGCCGACCAAAAAGATGGAAGAGTAAGATGGTTCATTAATCTTAGATTGCACGCCAGGTTTTTGTTCTCTACTGCATTTGGTACTATTTGTGAATCATTTTCTCTACAGCTTTTTTTTTTAGTTTTTTTGGGCCTGAAAATTGAAAGGGTCATGAGATCATGGGTCTTTTCCCTAAAAAATTTAATTAAAACAAAGGTGGACAAATTTAAATTTTTCAGAATATTTGTGGACATGAATATATCCCACGGATTTCCGAAATCCGAGTTATATTTAAAATTGAGAACTGGATTTCAAATCCGAGTTTACTCAGATTCGGATAATTAGTTTTAGTTTTAATTAAAATGAATTCGGATTTTCAAAATCCGTTTTCTATTAAATTCGGATTTCCGAAATCCGAGTTTACCTCGGATTCGGATTTTTGAAATCCGAAGGATATAGATTTGTCCACAAAAATTTCAAAAAAATTAATTTGGTCTACCTTTTTTTAAAGAAAATTGTTTAGGTCAAAAACTCATGAGATCATTTGTACCAGTTTTCATGTAATGTTTAACACTCTTCATAGTTTTCCATACGTGTCTTTTGACATATTGGGAAATACTAACTTTCACTAACAGCTAGTTTTGGGATTGTTTCAAATATATATATATATATATATAGTTTTGGTATGTTTCAACTTCTATAAGTTCATTGTAGCATTTTTTGTGGAACATTGAACAACACTTTTGGTAGTTTGATATGTATCTTCTTCTAACTTATTACCGAACACCTGTTGGAATTTGAAATAACAAAAGTAGTTAATAAATCTATTAAGAAGTATGGAATCATTAGATATTCATTTTATTCAACAAAACAATTTATTTTGTTATGCGAAAGAGAATTGAACAAGTTGTTTATCATTAACAAATTCAACGAATGCTAGAAACAAACTTGTTAATTATTATTTCATCAAATTGTGCTGACTTGTGACGATAATAAGTACCCTTTCTGTCTCAGAATAATCTTTTATTTATTGTATAATTTTAATTTAACAAAATAGGTTATTATTTTAATAAGACGGGATTGCCAATCATATTTCTCTTTCGCTTGGTAATCAGTGGGGCTGATTTCTCAACAAATCCTAACTGATATCCGACTTCTTCAGCCACCAATTTTCTTCCTTTGGTTCGCGAAACTCCCAATGATTCGCCATATGGTTAGCCAACAACTCACTCCAAACCTAGGATATTTGTGGTCTAGTCTCTAATGTGATATTGATTTTTGTCTTTCCATTCACTATCTTATTTCGGAAAAGATAGGTTATTATTAAGCTACCCCTATTTAAAGTGATTGATTAAAACAACTTGATTTCTAACAAGAAAAGAAAAACACATTTCATATGTCTAAAATGCAAAACTAATATACCGTCTCTGTTGAACGTACTGATATGAAAATATAGTAATTTATTATCATAAAAAATAAAAAATGTTGAGCCAAAAGAATCAGAATCAATTCCTAGTAAACCAAACCTCAACTAAAAGCAAGCAAAAAAAAAAAAAAAAAAAAACTAAAAACAAGTGGCAGATAAATATAGTTATGACTTGAATCTGCTGCTCCCCTTTTTGCCTTGAACTCATCGAACAAGTAAAGTGAAGAACTTCCTATATTTCCTTTTTTTTTTGTTAAACTAATTCAAGGTAGGGTCCACTATTTAACTATAATCAGTAAAACCGATAAGAAAAGTAATATGCTTCGCTGACAGTCAGGTCACTTCTACATATATATTACCCACCTATGACGACGGATAACAGGAGACATATAAGTCTGACAGTGTTGGGGCCCTCTTCGACGTTAATGATTGGTCAGTGAGCTTACTTTATGTCACCGCCGGTCATTTAATTAGGAAGTGGCACTTACGATGTTGTTGTACCGCGAGACATTTGATAATATCCACCCCGCACGAGCATGTTTGTCCATGTATAATTAGTGAAGAAGAACATTTTTGGTCCTTATTTACTCTTTTTTTTCTCCATAATAAAAATTCCGGAAAAAATAGTACTCTGTTTTATTTACAACAAAGAATTACGTTTTTCAAATTAAATTTATTGCATTTCCGTTTTTGTAAGAGAACTTATCGAGTCTAAAACACTTATTTCGTCACATTTTATACAAACTTGTCATTTTTTATGAAATTAATTCTTTGTCCAATCTCTAAACTCACTTCGTATTCTTAAAATACCATTTTTCTACTAAAGACCGATATTTGCAATTAAACCAAAACTCCGAATGACTATGAAAGGAAAAACAAAGAATCGATTACCAAATATTTTAAGAAAGGCCTTGGCAAGCCACCATAAAAAAAAAGAAGAAACTGTTGAGGTGATCCAATAATTGGTAAACAGAAAAATCTTACTATTTGTTTCAATTTCTACTACGTTTTTTAAATATTAAATATTAATAGTTGTCGCATCTCAGCGTATTTTTTTACATTTTCAATTGAAAAAAATCAAAAGACACATGCTCAAAAATGAAACAAACAGTGACCATTTTTTTTTAGGCTCCGTTTGGTTGGAATGAATTAGAATTACAATCCAAAAAAATTGAAATTAAAATATTGGGATTGCAATTCAATCTCAATTTATTTGTTTGGGAGATCTTAATAATTGACTAGAATTAAGGTTCTAATACCAATTCTTGCGTTTGGATGCTTCAAAATTTGGATACTTTAGAATTGAAATTAATTTGTTACTAGATAATTAATACAATTTATACTTCATGTCAAATTTTTTTTTTAAAAAAAAACTTAATTTCCTATGTCAAAATAATCTATCACGGATATGTATAAAACAAAAAAAAAATCATTGTGTACATGTATATTAGATTACTTTGTTGTCCTTTAAACTAATCCTTTTTGAAAAAATAATTTTTTATTTAATTGCTATATTATTTTGTGATTTATTATGTACACACTTTTTTGTAGGAAACAAAAGAAACATTATTGCGTAAGAATTATTACTATGATATGTAAACATCCTTGAGTCCCTCTCTTTTATTACTTTTCAAAATTTTTTAATTTTTGGTTTATTGATTTTTTCCCCTATATTAGTAAAAAATATTGTATATAATATAAATTCATTTTATGAATATTAATTTCTATTATATATGTTGACATTATTTTTTGGAATTTGCTTAAAATTTTTTAGTTTTAGTATATAGTTATATATGAAAAAACATATACTTAAAATTCAACTTACAGAATTTTTGATGAAAAAATGCCATGTATTATTTAATATATATATATATATTAATATAGGTGTACATATGGAACAATTATAAAATATTTTTGAAAATTTTATGGTGTTTATTGTGTCGATATATAATAAAAATTCTAACCCAAAATTAAAATATTTATCTATTAATTTTTTTGGGACAATTATACTTTTGATTTTTTCTCAAAAAAATATAATGTTAATTTTAGATTGATTTCGTTGATGATGATGATGATGATAATAATAATAATAATAATAATAATAATAAGAAGAAGAAGAAGAAGACAAAAAGCTGAAAAAAAGAAAAACAAAACGAAAAGAAAAAGGGCAAGGGCTGAAAGCCAAAAAAAAAAGAAAAGAAAAGGACTTAAGGGAAAAAAGGAAGAGATGACCCGTTTATGTTATAACCCGGAAATGACCCGGTTTAGACCCGCGAATTTTTTTTTAATCCCTTGAATTTGAATTCCAATTATTTACCCCCACAAAAGAATTAAAATCAAAGAATTGAACCCAAAATAGTATTACAATTCCAATTCTTCCACTTCAATTTTTGTTAACCAAACACAAGAATTGGAATTAAAGAGCTCCAATTCCAATTCTTGGTCTCAATTCAATGCAACCAAACGGAGCCTTAATGTAATTAAACGTTTTATGTCGTTGTTATTCTCTTTTTCACCATAGTAACAAAAAATTACTTGGGTTTTTCGCTCTATGGCGTCTTAACGGCTACACAACACTAGAGTGCTAGACTATACTACGACACTAAACATTCATTTCTTGTGGGTGTCACTTCAATTAAACGACACGATCCAAAGACTTGAACCTTTTTCTTTAATGGAGTCTCTCGTATAGTTATTATTATAGAGTGGAATTCTCTCTCACGCATTGTTCATGCCTTCTTCCCACCCTTCACTAAAAACACACACAGTCACGCAGTGAAAAATACAGAAAAGGGAAAAAAGAAGACAGACTTGTGTAGTGTTAACGAATCTGTTGATTCCGCCGCGGTGGTGGCGGTGGCGGAGTGGTGGTGGTGGTGCCGTTCCTTCTCTCTTCTTCATCATCAACAACAACAAAAAAAAAAAGCAAATCAATGTCGGTTACCTTTTCTCTCTGCTTTAATCTTTCTCTCTTTCTTTAATTTGTTTGTTGTTTTTATCCCCACACCCGGAATCAATCTTTTTCTTTATACCTTCTTGTAAAAACAATGTCTCTGTGTTTTTGTTTTTTTTTTTTTGGTTCCGATTAATCAATTCTTTATTCGTTCGGCACTTTCTTTGAGATTTGATTCCTCCTTATTGAGCTTTTTCTTTTCTTCTTAAAGATGTCAAAGAATTTTACTACGGTAGTAGAGTAGAGGCTACTCCTCTTATTCCTCCTCCTCCTCATTTGATGTAATTTGCGGTAATTTTCTCTGCGATCCGCAAATTAGTTGAATAATTTTGCAAAATTTGGTGATGCTCTGTTTGGAATTCACTGTCAAATTGTGAGGTGCTGTATAATCTTAGCTATGGATTGCTTCGGTAGTTTTTTCTTTTTTTTTTTCCTCCGCATTTTATGTCGTTGATCAAGGTTTCACCTCATTTGTGAATAAATTGCAGATTGCGGGATTGTACAGTCGATGAGAAAGCTTCTACGTTCATTTTGAAGAGAATTTGTCCGTCAAAGGTTATGCCTTAAACTTGCTTTTTATGATGCGTTGGTCCTTGTTTTCTTTTGGATTTTGTTTTGATTCTGTGTTCTGATAATTTGTTTGGGAATGGAAATTTTGTGGTGCAGAGTAATTACAAATTTTTGAAGGATGAGTTGGCCATCGCCTATGGAGTTCCATTATGGAAACTCTGGACATGGAATGCCTTATACTTTAATTGGAAGTTTTGTGGATTTGTTTGGAGGCCTTACCTATGATCATGTCAATTTCATTTTTGCTGACACCCATCCTTATGCACAGGTGTGGTTATATGCACTTTGACCAAAATTTTCTCCATAATAATTCTCAATTAATGGATTGGAAACTGAGAATGTCAAATATTCCTTCGTCCACTGTAACTGCAAACAATTTCTTGCATGTAATAGTCCTGTAAATGTATGTGCTATTCTTGGTTTTTTTGTTACAAAATGCTGCAAAGATTTAGTCAAGTTTATCCGCTGTGTAAGCAGATGTGACATCTCTAACTCTAAAAGTCTTGATGCACAAGCAAATTGTCGAATCTCAGTACAATTTTCCTTTGTGCAGATCATGTTTCTTTCACTTCTGTGAAAACACATTGCATATAGCATATTGGAAGTTCTCTGTTGACCTTTTTGTACTTTGTGGGTACTGTCTTGTTGGTTTGAGTTTAGTTTGACTAAGTTATTGTTCTCTTATGATTTCATTGGTCGAAGAATCTCATTGATTGCTCTAATTTATGCAGGAGGGTATGTACCCTTCAACAAATACCAATTTTTATAAATTCGGATATTCTGAACCTGGTAGTTTCTACTACAACTATGGGCAAGGCTATGTGGTGAATGATCACATGAATCTATCAGAAAGCAATGCATACTGTAGGAATTTAGAGAATCCTTCAAATATGGTTGAAGACCAAACCCCCAATGAGCAATCACAAACAGAAAGGAATTCGAGCTCCCCTTCACGTGCTAATTCTGTGGAGTGTAAGTTTTATCTTGTTAGGCAGTTCCTTCTGTTTCGTGTGTTTATAAACTGCTTATATTGCATAACCAAATTACTGTTCTTTTACCCTTCCTGTGCAAATTGATCAGTTGCCTGTTTTCTTCGTTTTTGGCTGTGGCTAGTGCTTGAGGGGCTAAGTACTTTCCTTAGATCTTGACCACCTGAACTATAGCATATCAGGACTATGAAACGTCATTATGTGGAGAATAGATTTTGGATATCATATAGCCATAATTGATTCTTGGGAAGATTGGTTACTGCTTAGTTGTAAAAGGTCATCATGCAAAGCTCTGATCTTCTTAATAAAAAATAATCATCTTTATTTGTCAATCAATCTACTTCCCTCCCGTTTTTGTATTGCTTTCTGTAATTGAAAACTTTCAGTTTCTATTTCTCTCTAACCTTTTTTATTTTTTTAGAAGTCATGTAATAGCTTTTTTATTAATTGAAAGATTAAAGTTATAGCTTGCTTTAGTTTAGAACAATAGGATAGTCTCCTGAACCAATGATCTCATACTGAGTATTTGATTGAAGATTCTGTAATGAACAATACATTCTGGGTCGGAGATATAGGAATGCCATGCCAGAACAGAAAGTCCCTTCCCTAGCTGGCGAAATTTTAGTGAGAGGAATACTGAAATGAGTTGTTCTTGGTTGTTGAGCACTCAGGATTCTGCCAATCAAAGTCATGTAGATTTCAGAAACAAACTCAAGTTGTGGAAACTGACGAATGATAGATATTCTGGAGCCATAAGTAGTCATCCACTCTTCCATATTCTGGAACCACTATTGATCCCTTAAAAAAAAAAAAAATTAAAAAATCAGGGAAAGTCAACAAGGTCCTGCTTAGATAGCTAATTGATTGCTGAAATGATTTGGTAATTTAAAAAAGAACGAAAAAGAACTTAAAATATTAAGACCCAGTGTACGAGCCGAGGCGTTGATACTATATGACATTGAATAACAGGAGCTTTGCCTTATCTCATTCTTTAGTAGAGCTTATGTGGAAGTCACAAGGTGTATTAGATAGTGAACTGGATTAGCTGAATATGGTTTGGAACACAGCGGAGGGAAATGCTAACTTGGGCTGATGTACCTTCTGATTGATGATTTCCTAGCCTTTCCCATTGATGGCAATGATTTATCCGAACACCAGTGGACTTTGAAGCATATCTAAAGTAACACAACGATCTTCCAGAGAAATCGGATGTTAGGAATTTATTGGCAGACAGTAATCAAACCAAAGATTTGAGTCTTCACTATTTCCTGTAGTTGACTTGATGATTGGTTGGGCCAACCGGCCAAGAATCTTAGCTTTCAGCTTTAGGTTATGGCTGAGGCCTGGTTTGGATATTTGTCAGATGATGTTGGATCGACTAGAGTTTGGCACATGGAACTTCAGGAAAAAATTTCCTTATTATCTTTAAATCAGTGAGCCGAATCTTTTCATTTAAACTTGTGATGTACAAGGAAAAATTTGTGATTGAAGTGAAACCTTGGCGCAATTGAAATTTGAAGAAAATGGGTTTCGGGGTTGACATGCAAGACAGTTGTTGGTCTGTCGAAGTCTACTTTTCCTGTATAGTGTGTTGTGTGTGTCTGTGTTTTCTTCTTTATTGTTCTCAATATAAATGGTATAAAGCTCACTGTGTTTGGATACCAAGATATATTGAAAGAGATATTTTGCTGATATGCAGATCCTCGGCGTCATCAAAATACTCGTGATTTTGAGGTTTGTCCTCTATTGTGTGCTAGGCTATTATCACTCTCCTTGTCTTTTTGTGTGATGATATATGGTCATGAATAAATCAAAATGCATGAAGTAGTATTTCTGCTGCTGCTTGTTAAACATAATAACCGGAAGCATGAAAATCATTATGATGTGATAAGGATCTTTCCTCTGTCTCTCTCAACTGTGGAATATTGTTGCAGGTCGTTTGGCAAGATAACATCGATCCAGACAACATGACTTACGAGGTTCGATATAATTTTAGTTTCCTGCATGGCACCTTCACTTATTCGTAGCTCTATTTTGGTGCAGTTTACTTTTACGTTAATACTTGATTTTTCAAATGGGTCATGGATGAAGAATACAAGTCACTAAAGCTCTATGTTGTCCTCATTTATATGCTAAGATAAGATGCAAGAGAACTGAACAATGCCTACAGAAATGACACTTTGTCTTATATTGATATGACAATAAATCCTGATTGATGCAGTTCGGATGATAAATGGGAATATAAGTGTTTGTTTGTCCAATAACTCATTTTCCATTTTCACTCATTTTACCTCTTAAACACAAAACCCAATGAAAAAAAAAAACATCATCCAAACAACTTTTTAATTTACCTTTTAAAATGTTGTGTTTGGTTATTACACTATTTGTAAAGTCTTCGTTTTGGTCACTGAACTATTGTAAAGTCTTCATTGCGTTTGGTTACTAAACTATTGTAAAGTGTTGTGTTTGGTCACTGAACTATTATAAAGTCTTGTGTTCGGTTGTTATACTATTGTAAAATCTTCATTTTGGTCGCTGAACTATTTTAATTTCATAAATGGTGACTATACTATAATACTTTCTAAATAAAAAACTAAACTACCTTTTAAATCTCCTCTCAAATCCAAATCAAAAGCTAAAACAAAACATTGTCCAAACAAGCAAATCTTTCAAACCATTCCTTCAGACGATTTGGCCCTTTTTATTAGAAACATTCTCACTTTATCTCTTTTACATTCATCTACTTAAGATAGTATAAATTTAATTAATGTGAATGTAAGAAGGAGTTTTGGTTCATTTCACTTGTGTTGATTCAACACATTACACATCGGTGTTGATGCTTGGTACCTGCTATATTTGTTGCCATTCTCTACTACTATAATACACATATGATATTTGTTTCTGACAATGAACCAAATACTTCCTAAGCTTATTAGTTCTCTTTCGTTTCTTTCTTGGGGAATGGGTTGCTTTGCTTCCATGCATTGATGTATGGATTGTTCTTCCTAAGCTTATCATAATAAACATATGATATTTGTTTCCGACAATGAACCAAATACTTCCTAAGCTTAGTGGTTCTCTTTCGTTTCTTTCTTGGGGAATGGTTGCTTTGCTTTCATGCATTAATGTATGGATTGTTCTTCCAATATGAAAGAGGATTTAGTCCTCTCCATCCGATCTGTTATCTACTTAATTTGGATGACGGTCAGAACCTGGTGGTTCAGATAATGTTGCATATGGTTTGTACTCGACAATTATGAGTTGTGAAGTGATGTGACTAGCACTGATTGGAAATTCGTTTTCTATGAGCAAGTTTCGACAGCCATTGTCTATGGTTAATAGGGGAGACTTCCAGTTTATCATTTATGTCCATGCCATTTTGATGAAACGAAACCCATTGACTTGATGGTAGTAATTATATTATTAGACACCTTTGAGGCTGTGGGTATGATTAATGGTGTGTGCAGTAGCTTGTATGCACAGCCTTTTGAAACATAATCCTGCATACTTGCTTATTAGCGGTGTAATATAAATTCGTTGTTGGGAATGTATTTTCCCTTTCCATTGTACAGTTTAGTTGAAAAATGGATTAAGAATGATAATATATCATGTTTACCTTGGGTTTCCGTCTTATCCATCAGTCTGCTAGGTTTCTCTCTTCAGCAATTTCTCTTTTCTTTCTGACTTTGCTGTTATTATTGGCTTTTCTTAGTGTCCATGCCGAACCCTAAATTTGCACACATTTTGGAAACATGCCCATTTAGCATATATTTTCATAATCATCCTGCAGTGTCTATCTTTGGTACGGGATTATTGGGTGATGTTAGCCCCGGTCAGGGTTTATAATTACAGATTTTTGTCACAGAATAGAGAGCATTAGGTGGTATTACCATCAGTGAGGTCCTTATCCTTATGAAAATGTGGTTATGAAAGGTCACCACGAGACTGGAAAACAATGTACTCTAAATGAAACTATGGGTCCTGTAATTTTGTAATTTGAACCATTATATGCATAGAGGTGTTTAATGTTTCATTGTAAAATGTTCCCTTCTTTTTGCTTGCAGGAATTACTTGAGTTGGGTGAAGCTGTTGGTACTCAAAATCGAGGTCTTTCCCCGGAAGTTATTTCCTCACTTCCGATTTCCAAATTTAAATGTGGCTTGTTCTCTAGAAAGAAATCAAGAAATGAAAGGTAACGAGAACCTTTATGCTCTAGCTGACAAATTTGCCTTGAAGTTGTGGCATCAGTGTTATTTTCTTTTTTGTTTCACATAGAATTCAAGTGTCTTTCCTTTTTCGTTTCACATAGAATTCAAAGACAGAACTTACCTAATCCATTGTCTTCATACATTTGAAAGTTTTCACTGCTTTCAAGTTCCAATTCTTCAGTTTTGCTATTCTGTTCAATTTTAGTTTTGGGTTTCTTTTGTATTCTGGTTGGTGGTATGATTTGGTGAATCCAGATTGAGACTTAATTTGAGAAGAGAGTTATACATGTGGGTTTTCTTTGCTGACAAAAACATTTTATGTTGGATTGTCTAGAATATTTTGTAATGGGCAAATTATCATGAATCTGTGCCTATACAATAGAGAAAATATGATTGCAACTCTATATGTCATACAACTCTGACATCATATTGGCATAGTTTCCTCCATATTCAGATTTCAACTTAAATTTGAGTGTTTCTTTTGGTTTAGAAGATGAGTTATCTCATTTATTATTGTTATCAATATACTTAAGATCTTTCCATGGGCAAGATGTGTGTCGAAGGTCAGCAAAAAAGGTGTTTTTTTTTTTTTTTTCTCTCCTGTAATTTGGTGTGCACCGATGTTTCCATCACCACGGGATATACTCTCCTTTCCTCTTAATCTGGTTTTCCTTTTTAATTCCAAGCGCTTATTTTAGCTCCTTTTGTCGGAAGGTGTGTTATCTGCCAGATGGAATACAAAAGACGTGATCGTCTAATGACTCTTCCATGCAAGCACAACTATCACGTTGGCTGTGGCAGCAGATGGCTTAGTATTAATAAAGTAAGCTTCTGGACCGCCCTAAAACTCCAAATGTTATATGACCTTTTGCTGAAAAGAAGTGATGATGGACTGACATTTTTTTTTGCAGGCATGTCCAATTTGTTACAAGGAGGTTTCTGTCTATGGATCAAGGATTTGATCAATTACCATTCTCTTTCATGTGTTCTTTTAAGGTTACAGCATTGACCTCGTTCTCCTTACAAGGTTCTTACATAGGATTTTGTCGCTTTAGTATAAATGATAGAACATCGTTAATACATGAGCAAGGTTGGTGTTTGTACAAGTTCTATTTAGGGGTTGCTTTGCAATGATTGGAGCGCTTGACTTCTACCTGTTGTCAGGTTGTAACTTGATTTGGTATTATGATTCTAGTGGAATGACGAATAGAATCAGGTAATCATTTTACCTTGATAAACTCTTCAGAAGGATTTAGGTTTGATGGTCTCAATTTTACTTGATTTCTTAGAGGGGAAACTGTTTGTTCGTTGCGCCCGTGGCTCAGCAGGCTCGTTTGTATGAAACCGACGATGACAAAATCGTTTAGTAGCTAGTTATTGATGTGAACTCATGTGTCAGCTAGATTCTTATGATACTTGCATAGAGTTTTCAATTCTCAAGATGCTCAAATCAATGTGGTTTGGTTTTGGTTTTTAACCCTGCTGGGTGGCGAAACCAAAACTTCTGATAATCACAAAAATCATCAATACTTATTACTTAAAGAGGGACTTTTTTAGCCATGGACCCATGGTACATAAGTTTGTTCTTTTGTTCTCCGCAGTCTATGGTGAATTTCTCCTCTTGGAGTGCAACAGAGAATTCAATAGAATTCCAAGTCCAAGATAACCGGGAGCATACAGTTGAGGATCTAGCCGATGGGAAACTCTCCAAGATCAGTTCCACAAAGGAACTTGGATCTGGAATATCAAGGTTTTGTAGAGCCTCTGGATGAACAATACAAAAGTGTCCATCTTCTTTCCCTTGAAGACATGATAACTTAATTACATCTGAATCTTGAGAACAGTATGTGTAATAACTTCCATGATTCTGTCTAGCATGTATCAAGCGCAGAAGAAAATATATTGTAACTTATCAAATGGATAAAAAGCAAAAAATAGCACACAACGAAAACAATACCAATAATGCATTTCATTTTATTATAAAAAATAAAAACTCAAAGCCACTAAAAACGAGATCCCAGTAAATTTGAGCAAATGCAAGCTCATCCACAAAACTCCCCAGATGTAATTGTTAGCATTGTTGTCGTTGTTTATAACGACAAGTAATTATCAACGTTCATCACATGGAGCGATGGTGTAAGATCTTCAAACTTAATTATGAATTAGAAGTTACCCGCACGATGTGCGGGATATAAAAATTTACGCTTTATCATCGAGTGGTGTATTCATGTGGTGTAAATACATATGTGATTCATCATGAATAACCTCAACTACATCATATAATTATCGATTGAAATATTCCCGAAGTGTTTCATGTTTTGGTCTTCAAACAGTCTCTTCGGGATCTTTCAAGACTTTGATGGCCAACGTCACTGTAGATGGGTCGTGCAAGATAGGGTTGTTTATGTGGAATTATATTCATAAATTGAAAGACTCTGAAATAGATACTTATAAATTGAGAGATGCGATACTGCTTGCTACGTTGAGAAGAAGAGAGATTCATGCTATGGATTAAGCTTAAGCATTGTACGTACTACTTCCAAAAGTCATTAATGTAAATGTTTTATAGAAAAAAAAAATAACCAAGAAGAAGAGATAGAAGCATACCTTGGCCATATTTTGAGATTTATAAAACTCAACATAAACTATTTTTTTAGATTGAAAGAATAAAATACTATAAACTGGTGGCTCCTGTCTGCATTAAATCACCAGAAAATTTAATTTATCAATACGTTATAAAGAAAATAATCATTACAACATTTGTTATTGTATCATCACTTAAAAAAATAGCATTTTAATTTCATGATGAATGTAAATTATACATACCCATCAAATCAAGATTTTAATCAACAAAATATTAAATAGTAATAAACTAATTTTTTCAATGAGAAAAAAAAATGCATTCATCATAGAGAGAATTCATTAAAATAAACAAACAAACCTGTTTCATACCAATGCTAATAATTGGCGCTAGTTACTTGATTTGGCAATATAACTTGTAAAAGGTGTACTCAAAACTTCACAAAAAAGCAAGGCTTCATAGAGAGATATGAAATTTTCTTGAAGGTGGTTGCCCCTCTCCGTGAAACCATTGACCTATTTAAATTGTCTCTTAGGAGAAACCAACCACCCTTCAAGGCATTTGATAACGTTAAGCTTTCTTTCTGAGGTTCTTCTTTTTGGTTCGTAATATGAATATATTTTCTTTTGACTCTCATTCACAATCACCAAAAAAAAACTGCAAAAGATTCAATCAAATATTTGTCAAACCTCAATATATGCAATGAAATCAGGCTTAGCGAATAAAAAATAAATACAGATTGGGGTTGTTTGAGAGTTTTGGGATGGAGTAGAAAGACAAATATGTGTATGTATATATATTTCAAGAAAAAAGATTGGTATGTATTTATTATGTTTGATTGAATGAAATCCAAAATTAACCATGGCTCCGTTCATCTTTTTCTAATTATGCGGCACATTTAATTATTTTAAAATTTGAAATAGTATTGTTAATAATTAGTATTTATAGTATGGTAAATATTTCGGCCAAATAAAAAACAGGTCTATTGATTTGATGAGGCTAAATTAGGCAAAAATTAGCATGATCAAAATTAGTGTCTATCCTAAATTTTAACCTATCAAAATTAGGTCAAATCAGCATCAAATCAAAATAATCGGCCGAAACGAAATTTGGCAAAGGAAATTCAGAGCCTTGTCGAAAGGAAACACAGAAAAATTATATATATATACAAATATATATATATATATATAGTTTTAATTTGGCCGAAGGAAAAAAAAATCAGTATTAATTCAATGAGGTTTTCTTGCTATTTTTTTTTTTCGCATATCGGCATTTTGCGGACCAAATTTTGATATGGCCGTAATCAAAGAGATTATGCATTTAATTTGTAAATTTTTCATTGAATAACTGAACTTTGGTTTTTTTTTTGTTTTTGTCGCTCATTCACCTTAATGGTGCTAATAAAAAATGTTTAAATTTAAATATAAGCTTTAAATGAATTAAATCAATGTTTACATTTTTTAAATGGAAAGAAACCATTAATAATATTGATTTTTTAAATGTTATGGTTTTTTTTTGACCGAATACAAAAAAAAAAGAAAGTTTACCACCAAATTAATTGATAGAATTTAATTGCAGTTTGATAAAACTTTATTTACTAGAAATTTTAAGGACTATTATTGTAATTATTGTAAATATTTTTTTCTGTCAAGCTTTAGAAAAAAGACACCTAGGATTTTATCCTATGTGGCACCTTTAAAAATCTTTTTTGTTTTCTCTCTCTGGTTTCTCTCTTAGTATAATATACTATAGAATATATATATATATGGATTGGATATGTTTGTTTTTGAATTTCAAATCAAATTAGATTGTATAATGAATAAAATTAATTATTACCTTTTTTGGGTAACAAATAATGGAAGATTTGAAGATTTTCCGTTTTTATTTCATCTCACAATTACGAAATAGAAAGTTTTTGTTGATTATGGTTTGTTAATTAATGGTTCATATATTCAATTAATTTCAAAATGGTAACAAATGAATAACTGAAAATTTAAAGGATATTTGGTATAATTGTTGAAAATAGTTTTTGTTGCAACCAATTGAAAACTGACACATAGGATTTTGTCCTATGTATCAACGTGGGAAAAAATTTGATTCTCTCTCTCTAGTTTCTCTCTTAGTATAATATTTTAGATACATTACAATATTTTTGGAAACAAGTGCCAGAAAGTGACTAAATGTATAATTTTTCACTAATAATTCAACATGTCTCCCTTAAACTGAAAAACCGAGGACACCATCATCTCCCGCTTATCTGCCCTTAATAGACTCTTCACTCATCTATTCCTAGGAAATATATCCAGCAATTCCCGTTTCAGTCTCAGTTACACCATACACCATCGGATAAAGAAAGTAGTCAAACTCCCAAGATTTCACTTGATGAAACAAATGTGATGTTCGTATTGGTAATTTCAAGCGTGTCAACCATTTACTTTATGTAAGTATTTAGTTCTCATATAATTTCTTCGGGCATGCATGACTTGCAAAAGTATTTAATAATACATAAGATTTGCTCCTTTCGCCCCATATAATAGTCTATTTCATTATATCATTTAAATTCAATGAACTGAAAATATTAAAATTCAATGGGAGAGGGAATATTCATTTTATGTTTTCTCATACGACTTGCTCTGTTTGGTTGTTTTTTCTTTTCACAATTTTTTATTAATAAATATCTCACCGTAATATATCTTTTTACATTTTTAATACATATTTTTATATTCCCAATAAAAAAATTTAAAAACATACACTTTTTTTTAAAAAACAAAAATTAGATGCCCCAGCGAGAATTGAACCCTCGACCTCCTTGTAATAACCATTCCCATTCTAATCCCTTAACCACCTCACCTAACTCTCCCACCCCCATTTAAAAAACATATACTAACAAAAATGATCTAAACAAAAAGATAGTATCTCGTGTTATTAGTTATTTAGCTTTTATGCCATTGGTTAATGGTATAAGAAAATTATCAGAAAAGAATTTCTTTTCTTTTCTTTTATTTTTAGGCACAAGGGGGCGGAGTGCTGCAAAATTTGTAGTTCGTGAGAATAAAATTCTTGACCTTTCATTGATCCTTTGGGAGAGATGAAGTTCTGCTTGAGCGTTTTCAATAGGACACACTTATGTCGAATGTGACATTTGACTCTGAATGTGTCTACCTGTATAGATGATTATGATTCAAACAAGAAACAATTTACACACCTAAAACAGATACTTAAATAAGCCAATCAAATAGGATTTGCAAATTAAATACAGGATGTCCGAAAGAGACATTATTAGTCGCAACTTGTGTTAAAATTTTAAATTTTACTTTCAATTACGTGGGCCATAATTCTGTCATTTCTTTTCTTTTTTTCCAAAGACTTTGACAAATTGGATTTAATCAGATTATTTGTGTTTTTCCGTCCCCGTTATGCACGTTTTGGGAAGCGCTGAAAATGAAGTGAGGAGTGAGGACACACACTGGATAAACAGTTATTACAATTCTGGAGCAAAATTATAGGGGCTGTTCCAAAGATTATATCTACCACGTGTACACAGACATCAGGGCAAGGGAAATCCTCATATAGAGCAAGGATTGCATTCACCGATTCCCCCTGAATGGTAAACCTTTCGAGCTTTACTTCAATGGCCAGATCAAGAGCTTCTCTCAATGCTAGAATCTCAGCTACAAGAGCATCCTGAATTCCATACTTACACCGAGCTTGAGCTGCACAAAGACTCCGTTCTCCGTTGCACACCAAACGCCTAAGCCAGCGCGGCGGTGGATCTTAGATATTGACGCGTCAAACCAAACCCTATCTCCTGGTGGCATTCGTCCAAGCAGAGAACTGTGATCCAGCAGTGGTGAGGGCCTCTCAGGCCAATACTCCTTTCCGTTCTAGTTATAAGATATAATTAACACTAAAATTAATTTTAATTTGTAATTTATAATTAGGAAAGAAGGAAATAGTTTATACCAAAGGGGTCCTATTCTCACAAATCTTGAAAGTTTAAAGCCTCAATTTTTTCTTTCTTCTTTGTTTTTTGTTTGTTTGTTTTTTTTTTTCTAGCCATCCCTTGTCCAGGGGGCTTGCAGTGGCTCAACAATTTAGTCTGGAGTAATACAGTTGGAGCACGACTTGGTCGGGGTCAACTATCCGTAAAATGTTTTAATTTAAGTCTATAGGCTTATGCCTCCTTTTATTTGACAGAAAAAAAAAAAAAATCAGAATAAGGTAAAATTGCTCCGCCATTGCTGCACTGCAAACCTCGCGTTGACTTCAACTCCAAAATACTCTCATGTAAGTGGGACTTTACTAATTTGTTATGCTTTCCATGAAGTATTTGATGGGATTCCCTTTTTCTTTTTTCGGGTTTATATGTATCTTAAATTTGATGTGAGTTTGCTGTTTGGTCAAGAAATGTTCAAAATGATGTTCTGTTCATAGAAATTCTTGGTGTTGTTTTGAAGGTCTTCTTTTTTTTTTCCAATTTCTTTTTGTGGGTTCGAAAATGCTTTTAATAGGATGTGTTATTTTGTAATCTTATATTTTGATTCCTCCCCAATATTTATTCCTTGACTATGCACCCCTGAAATCATTACCTATATATGGCGGTGCCACCACGGGACCGCTAGATTCCGGCCAAATTTAGGCCAGTCGACGATGTCAATTCATGGTAGCCGGTGGTGGCATTAATGGTGATATGATAAATTAGATGTCTTTGGAAGCAAATCGATCTCGCAAAATCTGGTTTGAGTCTCTATCTCGTCTTGTTGATACTTACAGTAATGCATGCATTATTGCATGTTGTAGAAACTTTTTGTTTGGGCAACAATTTTTTGTGGTTTTCATGATTTTCACGTTGTGATGTGACTATTTATTGAGTATACCATTTGAAAGTGATACGTTTCGTGCTTTGTTTTTGTTGAAATAAGGCCTTTTATTACTGTCTTGTGTTAAAACCCCTTTGAACTTCGAAAATAAGTGAAAGACCCTTGTCCCATATTAGAGTTGAGAAGCCTACTTAATCAACATATATACCCTATGTATTACTCCCCTCATCGCCAATTAATTTTGAGGTGGAACCACATGGTAACTTATATGGACCTTCAAAATCTTGCAACCTATAAGTGCTCAATTGTCGAATTCAGAATGATTTATATTACATTTCAATAATCTTCTTCACATAAGGAAAAAAAAACAAAAGCCCTTTGCGGAATTGTATTGTTTTAGTTTAACAAAATTGACTGTTTCCCTTATCATCAGCTTAATTTCATGGATAAAGAAAATCAGCAATGGCGAATTCTGATGCTTCCGTTGCTGGCTGATGGTCACGTGTTACCATTCTTAGAGCTCGGGAAGAAACTCACAAAGAGAAATTTCGAAGTATTTCTCTGCTCCACTGCTGCAAGTTTAAATCCCTTCAGAAAAGAAGCAGAAGACGACGAAAATCTCCATTTCAGGGAAATTCACCTTCCTGAGATGAAGAAGAACCCGAAACTTTCCCTGGAGAATCAAACCACCCGAAATCTCCCTCCTGATCTCGCTCCGGCTCTCTTCGCGGCGTTCGATGGGGCGAAAGATCATTTCCGGGAGATAGTTCGGGAAATCAAACCCCACATCGTCATCTATGATTATCTCCAACCCTGGGCGCCGGAAGTTGCGGAAGAGCTGGGAATCCCGGCCGTGTTGTTCATCACGGGCGGGGCGGCGTCTTATTCGTTCTTGTATCATTATAGCATCAAGAATCCTTCTGTTGATCAGCACCCAATCTCGCAACTAAAGCATCTTCCGGAAATCCATCACCAGAATGCCCTGATGTTCGTTAATGCTGAAATAAATGGGATCACCAATAAGGAACGTACACGACGAGCTGCTGGAAAATCGTCTCGATTCGTCCTGATTAGATGTTTGGATGATGAATTGGAACAGAAATACAGAGAATACATCTCCGTGTTACTGAAAAAGGAGGCGGTTTCACTAGGGCATTTTATTCGAAATCCCGAGAATGATGAATCCGCTGGCCATGCTTCATCGTCAGCGATTTATCATTGGCTGGAGACAAAAGAACCTAACTCTACTGTTTTCGCGTCGTTTGGAACTGAATGCTCTCTCTCAAGAGAAGAAATCGAAGAGATCGCTCTCGGGTTGGAACTCAGCCAGGTAAACTTCATTTGGGTGATTAAGAATTATAGTGATTTGGATGAAGTTTTACCTGAAGGGTATCAAAATAGAGTTGGTGAAAGAGGATTGTTGATTAAGACTTGGGCACCGCAGACAAAAATTCTTAGGCATCAAAGTGTCGCGGGATTTGTTAGTCATTGTGGTTGGAATTCGATATTAGAGAGTTTAGCATTTGGTGTTCCGATCGTAGCTATGCCTATGAGCGTGGATCAACCTTATAATTCGATGTTTCTCGAAGAAATCGGCGTCGCAATGGAGGTTGTTCGAACGGAAAATGGGAAATTTGGGAAGGAAGAAATAGCAAATGTGATCAAGGAAGTTGTTGGGGGCGAAAGAGGAAAAGATTCGCGAAATAAAGCCAATGAATTGAGTGGGAAAATAGCAGAGAAAGGTGAGAAAGACTTTGATTCTGCTGTGAGGAAGCTTATGCAGCTTGTTGAATAGCTATAAGCCTATAATAATATAACTAGATGCTTGGCCCGGACGGATGCCCGGGCGATCTCTTAAAATTTATATTTATAATTTTCATGTATTGATAGAAATATGTATATATGTGAGATAAAATAAGATTATTTCAAACGTGAACGACAAAGTGTATATAATTGTACTTCACATTTAGTAAATGAAAATTCAACAAAACAATCCCTATTCCGTCTTTTTTTTTTTCGCATAAATAAAAAAAAAAAAAAAGAGAACATGCGAAGATAAATTTCCGATGAAGAGAAGACGCCTTCGCTCAAGTAGAATTCTCGAAGATCTCGTTCAACACCATGAGCCTCAAAAATCTATTTGGATCTCATAAGTTATTCCAAGGCTGCTAAGTCTTTCTATGCTATAAAATGCATTCGGAAATACCAAGGTGGCACTCAAAAACTTCGTTTTAAAATTGATAAATACAGAAGCATAGAAATGGAGAACTACATTCAACCGAACAAAAACTAACAAAACATGGGCCAGAACATATGTAACAATCCAGCCTTTGATATACTAATACTTTGATGTTCGCTTGATTCATGAATACTCATCCTGGAAAAAGAGAAGAATGTATTAATAACAGTTTGTGCAATGTGACATAACTTTTTTGATACAATGTGATATATCTTTTTTGAATATAAATAATACGAAGCATAAATCAACATCAGATTTGAGAACGCCCAAAGAAAAAGTTTAAAAAAGAAACATTGATCTGCATTGCAATTGCTTGTGAATCTTTTCCTGTAATAGAGCCCTCATATCTTTCCTATTAGAAAGTCAATCAACGGCAGACCACTATCTTGAGCCATCTGTTGATAAAAATGAGTTGTATACATGAAATGGCTGCCCCTGAAGCAATGAAGGGAGCTTGTAACCCCAGCCTATTACTGACATGCCCACACATGACATGCCAAACAAATTGTTAAACTGCAACACTCTTAAAAGATCAAGATACAGGATTCAACTATCTAACAACAAAGAATCTGCTAAACTATATGATCAAATGGAGAATTCCTGTAAAATGAATTCTTTAGAGTAGCCGCTGCAAAAAGTTTCAAGCAATTAAAAAATCGGACAGTTTTTAGGATCGAAACAGTTCAACAGATGCAAGAATCTGATTTAAATAGTATTCATAACTTTAATCATTCCTACAAAATGTAGATATGAATTGTTTCATGTATTCTCACCATTGCTCCTACGTATTTTGGCCCTCTGCTGGCACCTTCGCTTCCAAACACAAAATTTTACCAAAACAACAAATATGATGACTCCTGAATCATAAAGCCTAATTAAATAAAAGGTTTGAATTTCTATTTAAAAAATTAAAAAAAAAACAAACAGAATCCCTCTAAAAATATGTGAATTCAAAGAAAATAAAACTAAAAAAATATGCAAATAATAATGATAAGTCATATTTTTTAATTAGAGGGATAAATCATATCCCTCTAAGAGAATGCCCAGGGGACCCCCTTTAAAAAATTAATAGAAAACTAAAAAAAATTATCCCTCTAAGAGAATGCCCAGGGGACCCCCTTTAGAAAATTAATAGAAAACTAAAAAAATATGCTACACTATAACAAAATAACAAAATAAAAAACCTCATATATTTTATCATGAATAAATAAAGAAGAGGGAATAATATCCTATCAAGGTGTGATCGTATTTCGGCTATTAGATCATCCTTTGGAAGAAGGAACAATGTCTCATCAACATGATTTTGATCATTATTTGTCAAAGAGGATGATAGAGTTTCATCCATTGACAGATTTTGATTGTTTAGACAATCATCAATTTGAAGAGGGAAGCATACATTATCATCCCCAGGTTGCGCTGCATTTGAAGAGGGAGGCAGGAGATCATTTTCAGCATCATTTTCATTTAACAACTTCAACTGGTGTCAGTCCTCCATTGCATGTACCTTTCGGTACACATGATTAACAATATGGCTAGTATGTACAGCTTAGTATTTCTAACTGGCCTGTTGTATTGGTTCCAAGCGAATTCAGTAATCTTACCATTCATTCTCTTGACAAATGCAGGAATATATTGGTCAAATCCAAATTGCAGCCCAACTATGTGTGGAAGATACTGTTTCACACAGACACAGTGAACCCCAACCAGCTCTGATGTTTTCCAGCATCAAACTAAGGTCTTCACTTTAGTTTCCATATCCTGATCAACATTATTTTCCCAACAACAGGATTCCTTACATAGCAATAACACTGTAATAATATTTAGAAGAATTGAAAAGTTAAGGCATGAAAGGAATTGCAGCAACTCATTACGTTAATGGTGAAAGTTATCCAAATTTTTGGAATATCAGTCCATACTTTGGAAAGGGCTATTGAAATGGCTATTACTCTGCTAAGCTTTTGGCTGAAAACCAGGCCAAAAGACGCTCATAAAATGACATAAATGACTGAAAGAGGACACACCAAAACTTAAACTGGTTGGATACAATCATACTTTATCCCAAAATTGACCAGCTAACGTTTGTTCTACATTGGATTCATGACAGATATGAAATGAAGTAGTACATATATTACAATTGAAATCAACTGGAAAAGAAAATGCGGACATTACAAATCCCTTTTAAAATCTTAAGCACACGGAGAATCTAATCTTACCTTCTCTCCAAGTGATCAATGTAGCAAGTTATCAATCTGACCATGCTTTGCAGATGGATACTTTCGGCTGTAGAAGTAATTAAGAAGCTTATGGGATTTTCAACCTAAATTGTGCATCCATTTTCTTCTTGTCCCATTTTCCCCAAGTTATAGACATTTCCTCCTTTGTCATGCTTGACATTTCTCCCAAGTTTTCCAAGTTCTCCAAGTTCTTCACTGGGGCAATCATACCAACACCTGTAATCAATGATTAATGATAAATGAGAATACTTCCTATTGAATAATAAATTTCTCAAAGAGATGGATGGCATAAATGCAAGAGTTGACTGCATATAATAATAGCAAATGTTGCTTAAACAATGACCAAAAGTCTGGCCCTATACTAATGTAGAAAGAAGCTATCAAGTAGTAATACTGATTGAAGCGCATTTTCACGGCAAATGTATCAACCCAGCAGCCTCGAAAGGGCAATTCAGCTATTTCAAAGCTGAAAGTCAGCTTACCGGGAATTTTATGAGTGAAGTTTAATATCAATGTAGCGCAAGCAAGTATTGCTCCATCTGAATGTCCAAGAATCCAGATGACGGAGAGAAAAATGACCTAAAACCATACCTGATCTAGTGTCTCTAAAGAGCTGCTTATTAGCAGTCTCAACTCTCAACCTTTATCCAATGCAAGTTCCTACAATGAATTTGAAAACAAAAATTGAATTAAAGAGCCATATAGTATCTCAAATGGAAGACGAATCCTAAATAATGTTTTAATTACATATACAAACCATATGAAAAAAAAGAACCACCATCGTCAATGACTACTTTTTCCTCGCAAACTGGATGTTCCAATCGTAGACATCGCCAATTGAGCTGTTAAAATCTGGCATTCTATTTTGTGACCAATGCTTGTAAACGTCGTGATTGAGCGCTTAATCTTAAGAGGATAGATTGAGCTGTCCGAACTGCTAAAATGCATGTCCTATATTTTATACCTACATGAGATTCCAGAAACAATAGTAAAAAAAAAATAAAACTTTTGATTACCAAAAAATACAACGTAAAATTCTACATATGAAGAATTACCTCCCAGGAGATTGATCCAGCATTTAGGCTTCTTTTATTCGGCCTGAGAATAATCAAATTAAAACATGTATGCTTAGTTGTTGTGGTTGATCGTGGCTTTTCATTTCCACAATAAAGAATCAATAACCAAGTGGGTTGATCAATCACAATAAACAAAAATTCAATCAGTCAAACAGTACAAATAAAAAACCACAAGTAAATTTAATTGATTGATCATCAAAATCAACTCTTTGGCACTCCCCGTGAAACCTTCTCTAATCTTATTTCCCAAACAAACAAAATGGTACCAACTCAATTCCCTTCAAATCTTTACCTTTTAAAAAAATCCGAAACCCTAATCTATAAAAACCCCCGATGATTACTATTCGTACCTTGATTGCGTTCCCATGGAGATTTGTGCCTTCAATCTTTTCTTTGGCGGCTTTGATATCGTCGATTTTCATATAATACATAAAGGCATAGCTTCTTTATATCGATTGGCTCGTGCTTCACCATTAAATCTGAATCGGTCACTTCAAAGATTAGGTCGTCGATCCAGAGATTGTTCGACAGTGGCGGTTCTGATTAGGCGGAGAACGACGACGTCGTACATTTAAGAGGAGATATCGAGAATATTAGGGATAGTGAATTCTTTCTTCTTTTGAAATTTGAATTCAATTAAATCGAGAACAGAGGGTCTAGTGGATTCTTTCTTCTTTTGAAAATTGAATTCAATTAAGCAGAGTGAATTAGGTCTGAGAAGATAATTTGGAAAATTTATTAATTGGAGTGATTTTTGGGATAATCAATGTGGATTTGAACTTTGAAGATTTCATGAATGAAGGAGATAAGGGCAACCGTATAACTTTTTTTTTTTAAAATGAAATAAGTATATGCTATTTATCTGCATTCTTATAATGCCACATGTCAGTTTTCATTTTGTACTGAAAAAGGCTTTTGGAGGGAAAATTTTGATTGTGGAACTGACATGTGTCCTTTTTGTTTACTGCTTTAATTAAGTACAATGGATCACGTATGAAAATTGATTCCCTTCTCGCCAATGCACACAATAAAAAAAGATTAGGACTAAAGGTTTGCTCGATTCAATGGCAACCCACTCAAAACTCTATTCTATTGTTCAGGGATGCAATCTGCATTGAGTACAAAATGCGAAGAAGTGTTATTCTCTGATGAAGACGAAGGTACTCAAAACTATTGGCGGTAATCATATTCTGAAAATCATTACCAGTAAATATTTGATGTCTTTTTCTATCGGTTGAAACCTTCATGGACCTAATTATAATTAGACATGACAAAATTTAATCAATCAATATTAGTGAATCGCTTGCTGCATCACTAATTTTGTTGTCTACTGATCAATATTAGTGAAACCTTTCTGGATCATCTTGTAATTGAATTTTACAATTTTACATACATTTGCAAACGTTGTTGTCTACTGATCCCTCTTTTATCACAGATAGCGATCGATCAATGACCTTCTTTACCACATAAAGAGTTGGAATTCTTACCTTCTTGATACTACTTACTATAAACAAGAGGAGAAATTAATCTGAAGTAAAAAAAAAAATCGTATGGCTGCCTAAAAATATGAGCAATGCAAGTTTTCCATCTCCAAATGGACCATTTAGGAGGTGCCTGGTCACTAAATGGATATGATAGTCAGGAGGGAATCATAGACCAAGAGTTTGGGATTGGGTATCAAAACTTCATTCAACTGCTTGGTTCACATGTCTTCTGAATTTGGAATTGACTCAAACTTACATCTTTATCCCTAATCTCAAACAAAGATCACCACCTAGTCACCACCACTGTTTACAACACCGCTCTCCCTAACCCTCTTTTTAGCAGAAACCACCACTTTTGCTTACACCACCATCCTTCCTTTAGTAGGAACAAATTTTTGAGGGACCAAATTTTCAAGACTCGGAAGTCTACCCTCACAACAAATGCTCATGATATTTCAAATCGATTCTTTAGTAAAAAAAAAAAAAAGATCTAGAACAAATATCTAGTAATTCAATCAGAAATAGAGAGGCTCCGATATATATATGACCAGATTGGCAATGGAATAGAATGAGCTTAATTATGTCAACTAATAAGAAGCGAAGTTACCAAACAATTATATTTTTGAATTGATTTCAATTGATTTTAGAAGTTATTTTGTTGAGAAATAAATTTTTTTAAAAAAAAAGAGAGAGAGAAGCATAACTGGAATTTGTGATGTTGATGGTGGCCATAGCGGAAAATGAAATTTCATTCTTAGAGAAAAACGAAAAGAAGGGAAGAGTTTCATTGGAAAAGAAATGCCTCTGGAGTCTGCTGTGTGTGGATAGGAGAGAGTAAAGAGAGGTAGATGAAGGCAAGAAAATAAAAAATAAAATATTGTTGTTCAATTATGCCAAGACTAAACTGTATAAATAGTCTCCTACATTTGTCCGAATTTAAATTTTGGTCCCCTACATCAACATGTATATGGTTTGAGCCTTTACATTTCATTTTGAAACTTTTATAGTCTCTTTTCACTGTTCCGTCACCATTTTCGTCATGATGACCGTTGACTCTACCAAGTTAGGGGTATTTTCGGAATGACACATATAAGATCAATATAACAAATGTTTAAATGGTCCCCTACATTTGTCCGAATTTAAATTTTGGTCCCCTACATCAACATGTATATAAATTGAGACTTTACATTTCATTTTGAAACTTTTTTGGTCTCTTTACACTGTTCCGTCACCATTTCTGTCTTGATGACCGTGACTCTACCGGAATGACACATATAAGATCAAAATAACAAATGTTTTTACAATAAAATAGAATAAAATATTAAAAATTATTATTTTATAATAAAAAATTAAATAATTTAAAATAAAAAATAAAAAATTAAAATGATTTCAAATTTCAAATTTTTTTTCACTTCCCACCTTTGTGGGTCCCACATGCTAGTCAATTTCCCCCCTTTTTTGTTACAGTAAAAAAACAAAATTAAAAAGTAAACTTATCTTCACCCGTCTTTTTTTTACTTTTTAATTTTGACGGGTGAAGGTAAGTTTGTTTTTTAATTTTAATTTTTTTTACTGTAGCAAAAAAAGGGGGGGGAATTGATTGGCATGTGGGACCCACAAAGGTGGGAAGTGAAAAAAAATTTGAAATCATTTTAATTTTTTTATTTTTAAATTATTTAATTTTTTATTATAAAATAATAATTTTTAATATTTTATTCTATTTTATTATAAAAACATTTGTTATTTTGATCTTATATGTGTCATTCCGAAGATACCCCTGACTTGGTAGGGTCAACGGTCATCAAGACGGAAATGGTGACGGAACAGTGTGAAAAGAGACCAAAAAAGTTTCAAAATGAAATGTAAAGGCTCAATCCATATACATGTTGATGTAGGGGACCAAAATTTAAATTCGAACAAATGTAGGGGACCATTTAAACATTTGTTATTTTGATCTTATATGTGTCATTCGAAAATACCCCGACTTAAGAGTCAACGGTCATCAAGACGGAAATGGTGACGGAACAGTGAAAAGAGACCAAAAAAGTTTCAAAATGAAATGTAAAGGCTCAATCCATACACATGTTGATGTAGGGGATCAAAATTTAAATTCGGATAAATGCAGGGGACCATTTATACAGTTTAGTCTTATGCCAAAGCCAAGCCAAACCCATCTATTTAATGTGGAATGAAAGTTGGCCCAAGAAATGAAAGAAATGGGCCCGTAAAACTGAACCAAACACACTTATTTGGAATGAAAGAGGGTGAAACCCATAAAAAAGATATCAAACCCACAAATCAGGCACTCCTTAATTTCTCCTTGAGCTGCTCATCCCTGAAAATGAAATGTTGTAACCGAATGGCCCGAATAAAACAGAGTTTGGAGCTTGTTTATCAAGCCAATTAAGACAATGAACAGTGAAGAGGACGTTATTTCTCCTCTCATCAACTACAGGATTAAACGGGCCGATAGCCCAGATATTTCGGGGACTAAAATATTCTTAAATTTAGCGAGGACATCAACAAATATGGGCCTTCTATTGCACTGAAAGAATTGTAAAATGTAGCCAGAGTTTGTCATTTGGGTACCAAAAATTTGTGAATACCAAAACTCTTTACCATCCGGGTCTTCGATACTCTTAGACAGAAGGTAGTACTTCTAATACCAAATTGTTTTTCACCTCAGGTGGGATAGACGTCGACTTTTAGTTTACGTGTCACTCTTCACTTCCTAAGATTAATCTTTTCTTTTTACTATGTTTTACCCCTTCAGCTCTCATCTCTCAATATGTTATGTTAATAACGGTCAAATTGCTCCCATTTGCTTTTTCCAATTCCAATTAGATTTAATAAAAGGGTAGAAAGGTAGTAACGTGCGAAATTAAACCACAAAGATTAATTTCTTAATGCATTTTGCAAATCCAAGAGTGACACATTAATTGAAATGGAAGGATTACATTTTTTTAAAAGAACAAATTTATACTCCCTCCATTTTTTTTTTTATATTTCGTGACAGAGTTTAGTGGACTTTTTTAAAAAATATATATGTACTCTATATGTCATTTTCATAAATTTAGTCACATTTGATCATTTTTTACCAACATTGTTCATGCATTAGACAGTGTTTATATTAAATTTTTATTACTTTGTAATGAGTTATACGTACAATAAATAAGAATATTTTTTGTATTTTAACTATATTAGTTATTGTTTCTTTTGATGAATTCTCTAGAACAAAATATAAAACAGAAGGGAGGGAATAATAATTTTGTGTTTCACCTTCTGAGGTTTTTCGTGTAGGGTATTTTCGTCAATTCACATAGAAACAGAAAACGGCGCTCAAGTCCCAAGTTCCTTTATTTTAACATTTTCAAAGAGTAAAGAGCGAAGAGAGAAATCAGAAATGCTACGAAAGACAAGCTTTTGCTGGGAGCAAAATGATGGTATAATTCCTAACATTTTTCCCTCGAATTTCACGCGCACAACACCTTAAAACACACTATTGAAGGCACCCATGGCGGATTCTTCACGTGGCTCTGCAAGTTTCTGGACTCAGGCCGATGCTCTGCACAGGAAGAACCTGGCCTTTCAGGTAAAATTGGTAAAATGCTTCTCGAAATTCAGTATGATCTCTGTTTTATTTCTCCTTTCCCTGAAAATTTGAGCTTTTTTCAGACACTATCCTTGTATGTTTGATAGAGGGTTCTCGAGACTTTTTTAGTTTAGTTCTCTTTATCAATTCTTTTTATTTATTTATTTTCTTTTGTTTGTTTATTGAAAGAATTTATTTTTGACATTTGAAACAATGGCGATTATGATTACCTTAATCAAACGTCTGCATCTCTTAGTTTGGATAGGAGATGTATTTAAGCTGTATTATTCATCTGTTTGGTTTAATTACTTTGACTTGATGAAGTTAGGAGGTTCGTGTAATGTTTGGTGAAGGAATTAATGTTCTTTGAAATTGCATGAGTAATTTATTCACTTATCGATTAAATTGAGCAGTATTCATCGTCCCTAAATGATTGTCGTGTTTGTTATACTGTTATACTTATAAAATAGTTCAACAAACCGGACAAACCTTTTGGATGGAAGAATTATTAAATCAAAATGGATGTAACGAATTGGGATAGGCTTGATTTATTCATATGTTATAATTAGGTAAGTGAATTTTCAGCCAAGAGAGGTTTATTGATTTAGATTTTCTGAACTTCTCAAGTGATCATTCTTTTGCTTTTTTGTGTGTGGTTTTTTTTTGGGGTAAGCTAGTAAGAGGGAGAGCTATAAGGTTTTTCTTGTTATCAAAGGGTCTGGAGTAGCACAAGTTAGGCACAAAATTCTGACTAATACCAGGTCAAAGACCTCTCTATCATTTGCTTGTACTGCATGGTGTTTTCAGATGTTCTGAAAATGGACTTTGTAATTCAGCTTGGATCGCCTCTTTAGAAGAAACTTTGTGAACTTTGTTTGTCATCTTAGCTAAAAGATGGAGTTATATGATTTCTAGCCTAAGAAGAAACAAACCACTTTACTCAACCACAGCCATATTTAGTTGGTTTTTTTTTTTTTTCCTCAAAAACAAACCTTGATTACTTACTCAATCTAAACTGACAGAAAAGAATCTCTCTTTAGCGTATTTGATGTTTGGCAGTAAATTTGTTTCAATGTAGTTTCCTTCTTTGATCTTACCTTTTTCTGTTTTCTTCTTCCGAACAGAAACGCAATATCAAATCAAATGTGCGACTTGTTACATTCCCATTTTTGCTTTTTATGTTGCTTATCCTGGTCCAAACAGCAGTCAATAGAGAATTGGATCAACCCTCCTTCAGATGCGGCTGTGTTTGTGTTGACACCAATGGGGAGATGGAAAATGTGAGAAAAAGTGTGGTCTGGAATATTCAAAGGTGTATCAAGCATGGTGGTGTCCTGTTGCTAGCCCGACGCTGTGGCATCTATTGTTGCAAATACTGGAGCCGGAGTATCGTGCAGTACAGTCAGAATTTACTCCATTTACGGATTTGCCAGTTGAATCCTGCAGGAAGACTGGTTCTTGTCCTGCAACAATACTCTTGGCTGGACAGAATGTTACTTTTGGACAGAGTATGTGTTCCTTGTCTGATACTATATACTCTTCGTAAATTAATTAATTTTGCTAGCTGCGAATGATGGGGTGATGTGATGTCTAGGTCTTGGTGAAAACATGATCCCAAGTTCACCGCCTTTAAACATCTCTGATATTTTTTACTCTGCCACTAGTGTTCTGGTAAGTGTTTTTGATATTGCTCAACTTTCTTCTACTCATATCGATTATCTTATAGCCTGTAACAATTCTTCCTCTATGCTGCTTTGCTTTTGAAAAGGTCTTGCTTACTTTGTTACCTTTTCAAATGTTGGCATTTTTAAGGGATCAGCATCGAAGCCGTTTCCTACAAATCTTATTGAACCAGCCTTTGTTTCTGATCAGTCCGTGTATTTTCTCCACAAATATTGTGCCCTAAACTCGTCATCTTTTGTTCCCTTGAGATTTGGTTCTGCCACATTCAATCAAGGTAACAATGTTTTCTTCATGTCTATATGCTATATCTGTTGCCATTCTCAGTATTTCTGAAAGCTTCTGTTATGTATGTATGCCCTCGAAGTGTTATATGGTGTAAAATATTTTAGTCGTCTTTTGGCTCTCAAAGTTAAGGAACTACCAAGAGTCCTTTATCATCTCTTCCATGACTGTCCGGGGTGGAAGCTTTCCAAGGAGATTTCGGTGGCTGTTCTCAACTGTCACTTTGCTGTCTGCAGGATTCTGATGTGAACTTTTTAACTGTTGTTCATAAATAAGTTGGTTGTCCATTCTAAAGATTTTAAGAATACTGAGATCACCTATTTTAAATTCAGAAATCCATTGTATTCGAGGTTTAAATTTGTGGCGAAACAGTTCAACTGAGATAAATGATGAGCTGTATAAGGGATATAGAAAGGCAAATGCAAAGCAAAAGGTCAATGAGATTATAGCAGGTTTGCTATGCTTAACATAATTTTCATCTGCAACACTTATGATTCTATTATCTTCTTCCTTATTCTTTTAAATTTTGTCTTGCTGCTTTGCCACAGCCTATGATTTCTTAAATACAGATGCAACAATATTTAACGTGAGCATATGGTATAACTCTACCTATAGAAATGACTCGGGCAACAATCCTATTTCGGCAACACGGGTGCCTCGTTCAGTTAACTTGGTAAAAACCTGGCCGCTCTTAATAGTAATGATTTGATTGAGTTGCTGAAAAGTTACATATTTTAGATATGAACTGATAATAAAGATATAAACAGAGATGCATCCTTCAAATTCAAATTCAATGCACTCATACAAAGTGCATAAGCTTAAAGAAATATGTTTCATTGGAAAGCAAAACATTGTGGAACATAACTTCCTTTGTAAAGAATGATTTACTAAAAGATTTATTTTGTATACTAAATGTCTTTTTCATAACTGATATATTGGTCACTTGAATGCTCAAAATGTGCCAAAACAATTAGGAAAAAAGTAGAGAACCTATTGCTTTGTGAAGGGAATGTAAAAAGAGCAAAATTGTCAACCTTTGCTTTGCAAGACTGTAACATCAGTTTACCACTCAAACTTTTTCCTGTTTAAGCATAAGCTAAACATGCTTCGCGATTGTTACCTGTTTGTATTCAACCACATAGTTAGAATTACTTCAGACATGCGCTGACTTTTGATTGTCCAGAGAATATTTCTGAATTGGTTTGCCACAACGGAAGCCATAGTAGAGATAGCTGTAGATATGTAATGTTTGGACATTTTTGCAACAAAGAGGTAGTAGACATGTTAGGGACATTGTTTCCATCTAAGCTGCATAAATATCCTGTTAGCGCCAGCTTCCAGGACTTTGAAAACTCTCATTTCGACGTCAGCAATTACTTCTTCACGGAGAGCCAGTTAGTGGTATAAGCGATGAAAGATGTTGAAAAGGAAACTTCTTACTTCTAACAGAAGTATTCAGTAGTTAATACTTCAGTGTGGTTGCTAATACTTATGTAAATCAGCAGCTTGTGATCTTAATCCCAAAGATGAAAGCTCCTGCAGTTAATATTTGGCAACTACATTTCAGGCATCAAATGCTTACCTCCAGCTTTTGTTCGGGCCTGGACCTAAAATATTGTTCGAATTTGTGAAAGATATGCCAAGGCCGGAATCAAGGCTCAGACTGGATCTCTCTTCTTTGCTTGGACCTATGTTCTTTACATGGGTTGTTTTACAACTATTCCCTGTGAGTACTCTTATCGCATATGATTCGTTGAATTACAGAAAACATTTACTTACTGTAACACAGAAACATACAAATAAGGATAGAGTAGTTAACATAAACAGTTCTGTATTTCTTTTCAATGAAAGGATAACTGATTTTGTCATTATTCATAAACACAATTTTAAAAAGTCTACTGTAGATATATCAAGTTGTCTTAACTTTCTACATAGCGACTTTCTTTCTCCTGGTTTGACAAAAGATCGTTGGACATTAATCTAGTCTACATATACGATGAGTATAAAACTTGTGATGAAGTGGGTGTAAAACTTGTAGTTATTTCCAATTCTTGGGGAGGGGAAAAACAAGGTTAGTTAACAGTTATGCTTCACACCTGCAGTGTCAAAGTATTAATGTCCTGCAGTTTTGCTGGAAGATGAATGCATGAATGTCATGAGTCAGGTCTTCTTAAAGATGTATTTTTCAAATTTTATCAACATCAGTTGAATCAATCTTATAAATGCAGGTTGCATAAAAGTGTAAAATTCAACCAGATGGTGTATATAATCTTTTCACTTCTTGGTCATTTTTACTCTTTCTGCAGGTAATGCTCACCTCTCTGGTTTACGGGAGGGAACAAAGGCTTAGGATTATGATGAAAATGCATGGACTTGGAGACGGGCCCTATTGGATGATCTCCTATTCTTATTTTCTTTTATTGTCATCTCTGTACATGATAGTTTTTGTCATATTTGGGTCATTGATCGGTAAATATTACCAGTTAATGTTTGCTTTGCTGGACGTTTCCTATTCAATCATATTGAAATACTATATAATATGTTTGCAGGATTGAGATTCTTCACTCTGAATGACTACAGTCTACAACTTGTATTATACTTCTTCCACATAAACTTGCAAATTTTGCTGGCTTTTCTTGTGTCTGTACTGTTCTCAAATGTAAAGACTGCTTCAGGTTTGCTTCTAGCTTGTCAGTATCATTTTCTATCAGATTACAAAAATCATGATGGTAATATGAGATCTTGTGTTTTCAATTTTTGCAGTTGTGGGCTATATAATAGTCCTTGGAACTGGTCTCTTGGGTACCTTTCTTTTCCAGCCCTTTCTCCAAGATTCATCTTTCCCAAGTAAGTAAAACACATCTTCTGGTTCATGACAATTATTTCCCACTGACTCTGCTTTTTCCATAAGGTGAAGCGGTGAACGTATCTTCAGGGAAAAAACAAAAACCCTTGCACAAAATTTCGGTCAAGAATCTTGATTCTATTTAATAAATCTTAACTGACTAAATTTTCTCTTTCTACACTCAGCTTCTTGCAAACTGAACCCATTCTCCACTCTAATTGCTGTTTTATTGCTTCCATGACCACCTCAACTGACCTATGTTTTTCATCAAATACTTGATTGTACCAGATGTGGTAGCTGAGAACATAACTTTTGGTTTGCCCTCGAATATTTCCATTTGTGATAAATCCATCTTTTCAAATTGACTGCATGCCCTACATGTCTTGGAATGCCAATCCAGCAATTAGTCCCATATTACTTCCGCAGAAAACTTACAGTTAGAAACTAAATGCTGAGAAGTTTTCCTCACCTTCACCACTATGTACACAAGTAGTGTTCTTGACAGGAATGTTTAGTCTTTTCATTATTTCTTTGTCAGAAGTCTCTCTTTTCACTCCACTATGATATGAAACTGTACGTTTAGGAATATCATCGTGTCTCCAAATTATCATTGTGTCTCTCGTTTTCAAACCATGTCCACATAATTATTTGTAACCAGACTGACTGGATACTTTCTTTACTAGTTCTCTTCCTTCTCCCATTTGTAAAACCTTCCTTTCACATATCCTATCATGTCATGAGGTTCCTCCAATGCCAGCTTGAGGCAAATTTATCTGGTGTTGCACTCTCTTATTGTTATTATTCCGGTACAGCAACAGAAAGGGGACTAAGAAGTGTATTGTTCTATTATCCTTTAGAGTGTTTATCGGTCATATATCCTAAGCTGCATAATTTAATGATTCACTCGAGTAGATTTAAACAGTAGTTAATGTTCCCATGCATGTGCTATGTATCAACTAGTATTAAGGTCTTTTGTCTGTATTTCTTGTCAGAAAATGTGAAGTGTTTCTCTATAACAACGACGAATAAGCTTTATCTTACCATGTTTAGTCAAAATATAGGGATGATATGAAGTATATTTTCTTTTGTATAACAACAGAAGAAATTAATTTAATTTTGATTCAGATTTAACTTCCCTTGAGTTTTCTTCTGACTTTATTTTGAAAGGCATTCTGTAGAACACATCTTGTGTTTTCCTCAAAATCAAATTTCTAACAAGAAACTCTCATCAAAATCTTTTACATTTGTAAGAAAATATTCAGAAAAGGAATCCCTAATGTAGCAATGTGGTCTAAACCTATCATTAGGATTCCAATTCTAGTAGTAGAGGGCCTTACTAAGCATAATCAATGTTCACTTGTACATTGCAACTGCTAGGAGAACTCTAGAAGAGTTACAATTTTTGGGAAGCATTAGTTTTAATTTCGTAGCCAAAGGAAATCAAGAATGTCAAACGGGTACTGTATTAACAATACATGTAAACCAATCATAAATATCTCTACAAAGATCTTATCTTGAAGAAAGCATGAAAATCTACACAAAGTGATGGTTATTCCAAGTTCATTTTTTGGTCTTTCATCGGAGGTGGTGGATCCTCTTGGAGAGGTTAGTCTACAGATCATCAACTTTGTTTCTCACTCTTGTGCAGGAGGCTGGATCACTGCAATGGAGTTATTTCCTGGTTTTTCTCTTTATCGTGGCTTATACGACTTAGCTCAATATTCTTTCACTGGTTATTACTTGGGGACTGTAGGAATGCAATGGAAAAATCTGAGTGAAAGAAATAATGAACTGAAAGAGGTTCTCATTGTCATAGTTGTGGAATGGCCGGTGGTTCTTTTACTGGCTTTTTATCTAGACCAGGTTGTCTCATCCAGAAGAAGTCCCACCTTTTTCATGCAAAACATACGGAAAAAGCCTCTCTCATCATTCAGAAAGTCTAGTTTTGAAGGACAAGGTTCTGTAGATATTGCTCAGATGGACAAACCTGATGTGCACCAAGAGGTAAATTGGTCCGCCTTTTGGTTGATCAGTGGTTGTTCTCTTATTTAGGTTTTAGAAAGACAAAAGTATTTAAATTACAAATAGGATTTTTGAGTACTTATCACGGTAAACTGTATCATTCTCTTATGAATTTCATCCGGGCTGTTTATCAAAAGTTGTTCTCTGATATTGTATGACTTCTCATTAGAACTAAAGCTGACTAGTATGTTAGTATTTAGGATCTGTTTTTGAGTGACATATGAAAAGTATGTTTGCTGACTTTGACATTTGTGTGATCCATGTCTCTTCTTTTGATGTATACTATATGATTAACAACTCCATTTCACATGGCTGCATAGCACTGCCTCATTTGTGCTTCAAAGATTGGCACTACTAGTTGTTGTCTTTCTCCCTCAGAAGGAGAATGTTAAACAATTATTACTTGAAGGTTTACCCTGGGAGGGATGGAAACCCAGAGAAAATTGCAGTGAAAGGGTTGTCACTTGCTTTACCTCGTGGGGAATGCTTTGGTATGCTTGGTCCTAATGGCGCTGGCAAAACTTCTTTTAAAAAACATGGTGAGTTCAGGGCTCTCAGATTTTCTCTATATTATTTATCAAAGAAAAATGTTGCACTTTAATGAAATTGTCTTTGACAAAGCATGATGAGAATATATGATCCGTTTTGTTCTTTCCTCTTTTCACTTGTCATAATCTTGTAAACAGATGATTGGACTCACAAAACCAAGCTCTGGTACAGCATACATTGAAGGACTTGACATTCGAACTCAAATGAATAGCATATACACCAGTATGGGTATGTCCGCAGCATGAGTAAGCCTAATCTTATCTTAATATCCTTTTTCCAAATGTTTTGCGTTCTTTCCTTAATAGTTTGTCCCATTTGGGGTTTGGTTGATTTCTGCATCATTCCAGCCTGCTCTGGGAAACTTTGACAGGAAGGGAGCACCCACCCTTTTATGGAAGACTCAAGAACCTCAAAGGTGTTGTATTGACCCAAGTAAGAAAACTTTCCTTGGAACAACAAACTGTACTTCAAGATGCAGATTTTATTGCATCAAAGAGGAAAGTTTCAGCAAGTGCATTTGGAACTCTTCAAATATTCTTGTTTAATGTTTCTGATACGTGATAATTGACAAAAAGACTTTGCAGATGTTGAATCTAATTACTTTTACATTCCTGAGCATTTGCAGGCAGTGGAAGAATCTCTGAAGAGTGTAAACCTATTTTATGGAAGCATTGCAGACAAGCAAGCTGGGAAATACAGTGGAGGAATGAAGCGAAGGCTTAGTGTTGCAATCTCGCTGATTGGAGATCCAAAAGTTGTGCTTTATCATCATCAGCATACATGCATGCATGTTCTTGAATGTAGATCATGATTTACTAAAGCTTCTTATGTTTTTTCGGTTAGGTTGTTTACATGGACGAACCAAGTACAGGATTAGATCCAGCTTCAAGAAGTAACTTGTGGAAGGTTGTGAAGCAGGCAAAGCAAGACAGGGCCATCATTCTTACAAGTAACTTCAACCTTCCTTTTTGTCTGTCCGGAGATACGGATTTATTTTCACATTTGCTCCACCACCAATTCACTTATTACTCTCTCTTTGTAGTACAAGTAACAGAGCTAATCCAAATCCAACTGTTCACTTCACCTGAAATTCAGTCTAATTTTGTTAATCTTTACATTCTTTGCTTCTAACGAAAGCTGTGCTTTAAAACCCCAAATATTTATGGGGAAACGATTCTCCTGTCACTAAAAAATGGGCTTTCCTCATCTCTACTAGATGTGAATGTCTCAACACACAGGACTCAACATAAACTCTAGTACTGCCAATAGATTTATAGTTGCCACAAGCTCAGACCCTTCCCTTCTACATCAAATTGTAAACACCAAAGGTATGGACATCTCTGAATTGAGGATGTGCTATAGTTTCCTCTCATGATCGTCCTGGATTGCTGCAATCCTAGCTGTTTAAGGAGATGATAACTTGCACCAGAATTCTTAGTCTTCCTTTACAACTGTTACAACTTGATAGCATTTTCCCAAATGTTTATTTTACACATTTACTTCTCTGCTTATTCTCTTAAAAAAGTAATTTGTTTCGACACGATTATAGTGATGGTCCCATCTTTTATTTTCAGCTCATTCAATGGAAGAGGCAGAGCATTTATGTGACAGGTTGGGAATATTTGCCGATGGAGACTTGCAATGTATAGGTAACCCAAAAGAGGTAAATTTACTTCAAAACTTTCTTCAACCGTTTGATGAAGTTGCTATATTTAGTGTTGTGATTTCTAACCAACTAACTGGCTGATTTCTACCATATGGATTGAACAGCTACTTGTTTTATGCATTTGCTTTGACCAGCTACTTTTTTTTTTTTTAATTTTCTAGTCAAATTTATCAATATCTAAACATCATGATTTCCTTCATCATAGAATATGAATCTGATATCAAAGCCAGGAGCATTATCTCCTAAAATTTTCTTTTTATTGTTGAATGAGCAGTTGAGGGCTACATATGGAGGATCTTATATCTTTACTATGACAACATCAGCAACTCATGAGGTAGAAGTGGAGAATTTAGTGCGAGAATTCTCCCGAAGTGCAATTAGGACATACCAAATATCCGGGACTCAAAAGTTCGAGTTGTCAAAGAATGAGGTGAAGATTGCTGATGTTTTCCATGCAGTTGAAGAAGCTAAGAGTAGATTCACAGTTCATGCATGGGGTCTTGCGGATACAACCTTAGAAGATGTCTTCATTAAGGTTGCTCGTGGAGCACAGGCCTTCGATGTTCTGTCCTAAGATAACTACACCTGCAGTTGTTTGTATTTCTTTGTTAAGGAAGCAGTCTTTAAGGCAAATGTCCATGTTCATCGTTCTGTATTTTTATGTATACAGCTTTGAAATTTGTATAGGAATAGCATCGTGCAACGATACAGATTATAAATGTATAGCAGCTTTGTGAAGGTGGTTTTTTTTTTTTTTTTTCTGAGCAATTGAGAAGGTGATTGATATTCATGATGAGTAAATGATCTCCCATCTTGTTCATCAGCACAAAAAATAGCCCCATTAACCACAACTATGCTCCGATTCTCCTTGATTTAAGAAAGACTTTTTCGCGCAGCAGTCTTCGTTGCTTGTGAACCGTAAGTTTCCAAGTGCTAAATCAGGTTTCTAAGCAATAAGCTTTTCCAACACAGGAAGCAGTGTATGCTTTAAATTATGAGTAAGGAATAAGTTAGTAAGAAAAATGCATGGTAAATTGAGTTTAGACACTTTGATAGCATTGTAATCCGGTCATCCTGAAAAAATATGCCACATTCTAATTTGTAATTGTACTAAAAATAATACAATCTATAAATGTGAGTAGCAAAATACAATTTATACATATATAGCGCCACATGGACTCGAATCGTCTGCCAACAATCTTGGCTGATTGCTCCTACAGAGAACAAAATGGTGATTAACAAGAAGCTCGCGCGTGAAGGAATTTCTGTAGAAGTTAAAGATATGGATGAGGGACTTGATTGTAATTAGGAAGTATGTTGACTGGCTTCAAGGAAGTTGACTGTAATTACAGGGGCTCGTTTTATAAATATGTAATTGTTAGAGTCAATTAGAGGATAGTTAGTATTAATACAGACATTTAGTGTCAGATGGTTGAGATCCACAAGGATACACAGAATTCATAGCCCCTAAATTCTCTCCAGGCACGGAACCCTAATTTCCTGATTATCGATCCATACTTTACCAATATGCTGTCAAATTATGCTGTTCTAGAGTTGCCCTAAATCCTGTACCTTTTTTCTTTCTTTTTTTTTTTTTTAAAAAAAATCCCGTACCTTAATCGTAGGAAAACTTCATGTTAACCAGTAGAGTATTAGGTTATCATGGCAGAGCTAGATTAAGAATATGTTTAATGCGTGTTCTCCGGAAGGGTGTCAGTAAAGTTGAAATTTGTTTGAAAGGGGTAAAAAAAAAAGTGACATTGTCCTTCATCTTTCTTAAGAATTTTCAGATCCTTTTGCGAGAAAGAAATTATGTTTTTCCGGTTTTGTAATTGAAGCTAAAAGGAGCGAGCCTTGCAAAGAAGAAGAGGGTCGTCAATTTACATATGAAATTTTCTTTAATTATCAATTGTTTTAGAATCAAAAAGTGAATTTCTTTTTCTTTTTATAGACTAAAATGTCCAAATAGTCACTTACATTTGGGCATACTTGAATTTACATCCCTTACATTAACATTTCAATATCGTAGTTTCAAATATTTGTTATCACACTTTTTTGGTCCTATTTCACTATTTCCGGCCGTTGACATGCCGGAATCAGGGATATTTTTGTCGTTTAATTTAATTTAAATTTTTATTAAAATTTAAATCATTAAAAATATTTTAAAATTCAAATTTCATTATTTAATTGTTAAAATATTATTTATTAATTAAAAATATTATTGTACAATTTTAAAAATTTATCATTATTTTCAAAATTACTTTTTTTATTTACTATTTACTTTAAGTACACAGTAAATAGTAATTATGTTACACTTTTTAACTTTAGGCCCACTATAAATTAAAAAAATCAACAAAGTTACAGTAAATAATTCAAAATTCAATTATTTTTTTTAAAAAAAGAAAAATAAAAAGCAAAACTAAGATTTTTTTTACTCTGACCGCTACAGTAAACCCTAAATGGTAATTATGTTACACTTTTAACCTTGTACCCACTGCAACTTAAAAAATATACCGAATTAATTTATCGAGTTACAGTAAATAATTCAAAATTCAATTTTTAAAAAGAAAATAAAATGAAAAACCACGAGTTTTTTACTCTGACCGCTATAGTAAACCCTAAATGGTAATTATGTTGCACTTTTAACCTTGGACCCACTGTAACTTAAAAAATTTACCGAATTACAGTAAATAATTCAAAATTCATTTTTTTTTCCAAAAAAAAGGAAAAACCAAAAATTTTTTTACTCTGACCGCGACGTTGTTTTTTTAACGTTGGACCTACAATAACTTAAAAAATTGATCGAGTTATAGTAAATAATTCAAATTTTTTTTTTTGAAAAAAAGGAAAAAGCAAAACAAAGTAATTGACCGCTACAGTAAACCCTTATGTTGCACTTTTAACCTTGGACCCAATGTAACTTAAAAAATTCGCCGAGTTACAGTAAATAATTCAAAATTCAACTGTAGCAGTCAAAGTAAAAAAAAAATCTTGGTTTTGCGTATTCTTTTTTTTTTTTTAAAAAAAAATTTAAATTATTTACTGTAACTCGATAAATTTTTTAAGTTATAGTGGGTCCAAAGTTAAGTGCAACATAATTACCATTTAGGGTTTACTATAGCGGTTAGAGTAAAAACAAATGGTTAGGATTTTTCTTTTTTTTTTAAAGAAATTGAATTTTGAATTATTTACTGTAACTCGGTAAATTTTTTAAGTTACAGTGGGTCTAAGGTTAAAAGTGCAACATAATTACTATTTACTTTGACCTAAGATAAATGATAAACGAAAAAATTAATTTTGAAAATAATGTAAATTTTAAAATTTTATAATAATATTTTTAATTAATAAATAATATTTTAACAATTAAATAATAAAATCTGAATTTTAAATATTTTTAATGATTTAAATTTTTATTAAAATTTAAATTAAATTAAAAGATGAAAATACCCTGATTCCGGTATGTCAACGGCCGGAAATAGCGAAATGGGACCAAAAAAGTGTGAAAACATAATGTTTAGGACTACGATATTGAAATGTTAATGTAAGGGACGTAAATGCAAGTAGGCCCAAATGTAAGGGACCATTTGGACATTTTAGTCTTTTTTATATATATATATTTGTACGATGTATTTTCATTAATGTTGATCTAATTTACAGATTTTTGCACAAAAGATTGCGCATTGCTTGAAAGAAATAATATGCATTTTGTTATCTTTGTAGACGAGTTCATTACCAGAACAAAGCAAGTTCACGTTATAAGCAAATGAAAATGATAAACAAACTTTCACATTACAACACTTTAATTAATAACAATCTTCAATCTTACAACAAAGAAAAGTACGAGGACCTCACTTGTAGGATCCTATTTATTAATGACCGAAAAACAATGAGGACGTCACGACGACAATTCAAGCACACATAAATTTCATCACAAAGAGTGATCAGTTATTTCTTCAAACACACAAATGTAGAGGTGAACATTTCGCACACTCCATTCTTCAACAATACAGTGGTGGAGGAGTAGAATCAGTTTCATCGAGTAGGGGGCGGAGGCGAGTGCGTGGAGGGGTTGGAAAAACCCTAGTAATGTTTTGGTGGTGGAGGTGACTTGTAATGATAGGGTGGAGTTACGTGCTTTGGTGGTGGTGTATAGTGATGTACCGGAGGATAAACGTGCTTTGGTGGTGGTTTATAGTGATGTACCGGAGGATAAACGTGCTTTGGTGGCGGTTTGTAGTGATGGTACGGCGGATACACCCGCTTTGGAGGCGGATACTTGTAGTGATGTACCGGATGTGGTTTATACTTGGTCGGAGTTGGATATGGGTGCTTGTGGTGTGGTGGCTTGTAGTATGGATTGTGACCATCACCATTGGCAAATATTGCAAAAGAGCAAAATAAGAGGGCACAAAATAACAGAAGATGCCATTGCATTTGGTTCTTGAGAGTTTCCATTTTTGGTTAACTCCCAAGTTGTTTTGTTGTGGTATTGTTTGGGTGCAAATGTGCCCTTTATATAGTTCTCATGAACCCTTTTCCTGAAGATGGGTAAATAATTTTTTTAATCTAACAAGTTGGCTACAAGTTGGAGTTTAATGTTTAAGTGGATGAATTCAATTTAATTAGTCATCCTCCATGTTGTGGAAAATATTAGATTCTCATTTGGATATGCTCTGAAGCAAATGAAGAACAGTTCGGTTTTTGTCGTAAGCAAATTTTCAACGAGAAGACTTGGTCAGACATGTAACATCTCTTTATTTTTAAAGTTCATAGAATTTTAATTCTCAAAAAAAAAAAAAATTCGTGAATTTACACAATGATCGATGATGAAGACTTCAGAGTGTAATATTGATTGAATTTTAGGTTAAAATTATTATATCCGGTACTTTAATTAGCTTAAAAGGCGAGTACGGTGCAAATGAATTAGATGTTTCTTCACTTATAAAGAAAAAGGTCGTGTTTATTCCTCAAGTACAAGAAGTTTGTACTGTAACAAGTTTTTTGTATGATCTTGAACTTGAATTTCTATGTTTCGAGCGCTTTCGATTCGTGTGTTGTTTTCACAATAATATAAATCATATGGAAATAGTCTGCAAACTCTTTTTACATGAAGTAATATCAAGAAACTGAATTATTCATGTAGAAAATTGGATTTTGTTATCTGTAGATTGGCCAAATATCTTTACACGTAGGAAAACGAATAAATAAAATCATAGGAAGGGATTTCTTTTCATCTTTAGTCTTGTTGTTTGCAGCAAATCATGCAACAATTCTGTTGTGTTCGATGAACAAAATCAATTCATATTAAGAGAGTGGTTTTTCCTCCAAGAAAAACCGATCCCTAGTATGCGGGTTAAAGATTTTAAACATCATATCCGTAATGTACTACTAAGAAAATAAATTAAAGGAATTGCATTGCATACATACTTTAAAAGGATTCACGAGGCTGCAATACTTGGTCAGCTAGAGTATAAAATTGATCATTTGGAGGTCCATATTATTTTTTAAGACATTAGATTATTATTATTCTACTTTCTAATTTGTCTATTTATTTTCTTATTTTTCTTATTTATT